TTATTTTGGGTGTAAAATGTACCTCCTTTCGACTTGTATCTTACGGCAATAAGTTTCCTCAACGTTATATATACATTTTGTACGTTCATACATCTTCGGAATATTTTAATTTGTAACAGTGTATGTAATCAATTATTTTTATATACAATCAAAAGATAAATAACTGCTAAGGCTATTTATTGTACATTTCCTAACTTTGTTCGGTTGCAGGAACTATTATATCCGAGTAATCATTTTTGCCAAGATTTTTAAGTCATGACCACAACAATTATATCATATATTCAAGAAATCACACAAACAGTGTATTTGTGTACTGCCTACTGATATTAAGCTATTGTATGCAAATATAAAACAATATATTTGAGATCGAGTATCATGTTTACCTTACGATCTGGTTCGACATATTTAGTAGTGTTGGTATATACCAACACTTGCATTAATTGTTCGAAATTAGAGGGAAATGTATATATATACATTGCCGTCTAATTTCGAACAATTAATGCAATTACTGGAACCAGCACTACTAAATACATGCCCAGTTAAGCATGTCACTGAAAATTCATTCAAATGCTTAAAAATAAGCAGAAAATATTAATTGAAATAGAGCTTATTTAATCTTGCATTCCATCTATTTTGAAACAAGCGCTAGTTATGAATTTAATGTAGACAAAACGCACGTCAGACGTACCAACTTACATTCCAAGTATCTTTGGTGACATTTAACTACAATTTCCGATATCTAGATTTCTAATTGTGACTATTTGAATAATGATTTCCCGACCGTTCAGTTTATTGAACAGTATAAAAACTATGATACATGTATCAAGAATACTATTCCTGTAGCTGTTAGTTTTTTTTAAAATTAACACATAATTCATTAAATAAAATACACAGACACAAGCAACAACAACTGCAGAAGTAACCTTGAAATAGATATTAGTATATGAAGCTGATATCAAGACGGTTGGGCGCACAAAAAATAGTATCAGAAGACTTATATAATAAACTTTATCAATTTGGTCACAAGGTATCCATCTCATATGGCATAGCGAAGGACTTCGGTAAGGTTCATACGCAGCAATTCCAAATAGCGACAAAGCTACAAAAACAAGGTTACGTCATATAATGTTATACTGACTTTCGCTGTTTTAGAATCAAAAGGACTAGTGGTAATTTCACTGTTTGTACCCAATAAGTCACATCATTTATTGAATATAGATAAGTTGGAACGTATTTAAAGAATCACGACGTTTTAATTTACGCGTTTGAAAATTATATCCAGAGAACATTACATTCTAAAAAGGCGAATTAATAATATCATACGTTTCCAATCTGACAGAGATACAATTGAGGTGTCGTTTTCTATTAAATGGGTTTGTGTAAGGTAACTGCTGTACATGCATTCCATATCATGTACTTAAAGAAAGGACTGATTAATTGTTGTTTGCTTAACGTCCAGTGAATATTAAATACATATTTGTTTTAAAGCTCCGAATACGAATTAGCATTTGTTTTTTTCGTCCCATGATATTTCAATTTTTGTTGATATGATCATATGTTTTACCAACTATAACAGCAAGAGTTGATTTTTTTACGATCGAGCCCTTTTCTGTTATTCTTCAATTTGCCAACAGTTGTGTTGTATGATATCATTTTGTTACGTTAATGACATGACATGAGTTGTTCAGTTTGTATTTCTTTTCTCTGTTCATTGTTTTACTTTTCAGTCTTTGTGTAGTATGCCTTTCTTTGGCGTATAATTTGTGACTGCCCTTTGGTATTTACATTTTTGTTATCTACTATCCAAAACAAACTTTGTTATTATTTTCCAAACAACAATAAAATAATGTGTTGGTCTAAATAGACACACTTACCTGAAACAATTCCACAAAACAGAATGCATTCTTCTTACACTAAAATAAAACACCTTTTGTCTAATCTAACTTCGGTTGAATGAGCCGTCACGACCACTCTGTATAGATGGAATACCATTGCGGTTAAAAGAGTAATGAACAACAGTCTTATTGATCGAAGTAAACTTAAATCCATAAAACATGCATACGTTTTCGCCAAAGATAACACTCTTGTCAAATGCTGTCGCAGCGTGTAAAGGCATTAAAATGCAGATACAATAAAACCAACTATTGCTAATACTCGAGAAACTAAACGAAAAATTACAGACCGTTTTCCACATTGACAGGACTGATAACGACGTTCAAATTAAAGATAAATTGGTTGATTATTGTTTATTTAACGTCAGACATTAAAAATATTGTGCATATTCAGGATGAGAACAAACTAAACATTACATAAAATACGTATTCAGCAACTTAAAGGTAAAAGGGTGTAGGCGAGAGAAGGGGGAGTTTCGCTTAGGGTCCTATTCCATTGTTTTCTACTACAGAAATGAAGTATTATAAAACTAGGTGATTTAATCTTAAAAATTAATCATTAAGTATGTGCAAATTTTAAACAGCCCTATCTATAATGTATATATTTAAAGACGAATGATAGCAAAATTCCCAATTTTCTACAAAATATGCATATTTCAGAGAGATATATTCAACACATGCAAGTACCACACAAATATGTGCAGCAAATGTGTTGTTCATAAAGACAAACACCATGCTAAATCATTTATTTGATATTTGCATTTGCTCTTTATTTGAAACACTCTCAAACGTGTCTATCCAACCAACGTGTCCGTCTCGTCGATTTCCTTCAAAAGTAACATAAAAATCACAAAGCGTCCAAAAGTGTCCAATATGTTATCTGCGTCAACTGATTTTCAGCTCGCCAAAACATGTCCGACAATTTCTATCCGCAAAAACGTGTCCACTTTAAAAGAGGTGCGAAAGATACCAAAGGGACATTCAAACCCATAAGTCAAAAATAAACTGACAACGCTATGGCTAAAAAACAAAAAATAAACAACAGACAAACAATAGTGAAAAAACACAACATGGAAAACTAAAAACTGGGCAACACAAAACCCCACCAAAAATTGAGGGTTATCAGGTGCTCTGGAAGGGTAAGCAGATCCTGCTCAACATGTGGCACCCGTCGTATTGCTAATGTTAATAAGTCTGATAGGTAGGTCACATTCGGGGGAAAGGGGACGGGATTGTAGTAACGACATTTGGAACATATCTGTTATCATCTGTGAAACCGATATTCCATAATCGTCAACCAACTCGTGATGGCGTCCGTAAAATTTACGAAGGAATGATTTCAACTTCACCACATTGAACTCTTGGTTTAACAGTTTCCTTGAGAGCAGCAACCCTCTATCAAGGAAATCATGATAGAAAATACAAGCCCTTGAATATCGTATCAACTGGAAGATATACTCCGTATGCAGGCGCTGCTGGAATGTTGCTACATAAAAATTGAAGGTTCACAATTAGGAAGCTGAAATCATATCTTTTGTCTTTTCAACCTACCCTCACTGTCAATTTCTAGATGCAAGTCAAGAAATGAGGCAAATTTAACTGTATCTATTGTATCCTTTATCTCAAGTTCGATGGGATAGATGCCTTCAACATAGTCACCAAATTTTGAACTATTTAGTGAGAGAACATCATCTATATAACGGAAAGTAAAGTTAAAGGATAATGCTAACTTCTTTTCTTTTTTCCTCAGAAGTTGTATGACGTCAGCTTCATGTGAATAAAGGAACAAGTCGGCAAGAAGAGGGGCACAGTTGGTTTCCATGGGAATGCCGATTGTTTCTTGAAAAACACGTCCTCCAAGCTTAACAAATATGTTGTCAATCAAGAAATCAAGCATCTTGATAACGTCAGTTTCAGAGAATTTTTTGTTTGAATCAGTGTGATTTTTTACAAAGTTGGATTTATCCCTCCCTAAAACAAGATACTTGTATCTACGTTGGCTATTCTTTTTTATGAAACAAAGCAGGACAAACTCTTTCAATTTTTCTTATAGTTTGGAACGGGGAATACACAGGCAATTTTTTCCAACGTGATTTTAACATGGGAATCACGTGATATTCACGTTGTCCACACCACGTGAGTACAACGTGAAACGAGCAGAAACGTAATATTCACGTTGTGAGCACAACGTGAAATAAACGTTCGTCACACGTGATATTCACGTTGTATATAAATCCACATAATATCAACGTGATAATACAACGTGATATTCACGTTTAATATAAAGCCACGTGATATAAACGTGATAATACAAAAAGACTTTTATGTGAAGCAGCCACTAGGAAAAATGAAATATTGTCTTTGTTGCACTCATTGACATATCATTTTTTGTTCTTGGTCATCTCTATTTGAAGATGTTTCTCTGGTTCTTTATGGTAAAAGTACTGTAAAAGTGAGTTATACATCAATAAATTGTCTTATATTGATTATCAGTTACCTCATATGCATGTTTTATTAACCTGTTATCATCCTGAATATGTATGTAATATTTGTGGCTGGATGTTTAGCATCCATTAAAACTTATATATATATATATATAAATCCAAATCTTATTTAAACCATGAGACTATTTCTACATGTTTGAAACCTTTCGAATCTTCCTGTTAGTATTTCTTTTTTTTGTTTGTTTGAAATTCTTGCTTTATAATTTGTTTGTTTGACAATTCATAAAAAATCTAAAAGTATGAATACCAATGTCAAAGTCAGCTACATTTTAAATTTATACAATTTTTGAAAAGAAGTCGAATTCGAAATTGCACAACAAATAATGCAAAACCAAATGTATACCAAACAACAATTCAATACAGACTAGCTATTTTACAATGTTCATTCTACAAGAGTTGTGTCCCTTGCAGGTTTACCATGACAAATCTAAAAATAATCAGCTTATGATTAAAAAATTGTCCCTAACAGAGGCATATGTTACCAAATGTTAAAAAAAACAAAATACTTTCCACATTAAATTCAATTATATTTATATTTAAGAATATTCTAAACAGTTAACATTTGAAAAGTTACTGAAATAGTAACAAATAATATTTGATTGTTCCGTCTTCTAAATGCTCCTCTCTTTTAAAAGTTTCTTCATCTGAAAGGATAAAAAAAAGAATTTTATTTACTGTTATAATATTATCTTATTTAAGCATACATAATGAAAGCTTTATTTTACTTCTAATATGAGTGATGCTTTTGCTTTGTAAACAACAATGTGATAAAATTCTCAATATATCTATAGTTTACAACCCTAGTAAACATTATTATTATATACATATGCACTTTCATGGATCTACAATCTGTCATTTCCTGTATCTTGGCATTGCACCAGGTCATGTTTTTCTCTGATTGTTTATGATGTCATTACACTAAATCCATTAGATGTTGGATGTGTACTGATTGATAATTTATTCTTAGATGCATTTTTTTTAAGTTGTTATTGGCTTTGAACTAGCTGTCAGTATCTGCACTCTCAGATTTGTACTAAGTGTCTTTTTGTTGTTGGGATGTACAAGTACCCATCCACGTCCACTCTGTGTTTTTGTTGTATGTATTTCTATTTGTATCCATCTGTTGAGTTCAGCCTTTTTCAACTGATTTTTTTAGTTCGTTCTAATGTTGTGCTGTTACACCGCTGTCCCAGATAAGGGGAGGGTTGAGATCCCACCAACATGTTTAACCCTGCCACATTCTGTATGGATGTGCCTGTCCCAAGTCAGGAGCCTGTAGTTAAGTGGTTGTTTGTTGTTACATATTTGTTTTTTTCGTTAATTTTTTTGTACATTAATCAGGCCGTTAGTTTTCTCGTTTGAATTGTTTTACATTTGTGATTTATAGGTGACTATGCAGTATGGGCTTTGGTCATTGTTGAAGGCCGTACAGTGACCTATAGCTCTTAATTTCTGTGGCATTTGGTTTCTTGTGGAGGGTTGTCTCATTGGCAATCATACCACATCTTTTTTATATGTATCATAACTAATGTGGTGATTTGCCTGTGTAAAATTGAAATGAAAACTAGACAAAGTGACTCCACTCTGAAGTAACTGTATTATAACAAAATCAATGTAGGACTTTCTTTGAGATATTATTGTGTCTGGGAGACACAATTGATGCCCCCGCAGATGCAAAGTGTTATTTTAAAATAACTATAACATTTATACACTTACACCCAAAAAATGACAAAAGTTCAACTATCTCTCAAAAGAGAAAGTATTAATAAAAATCAAAACCCTGACCACATGCACACCTTCAATGTATGTACAAACAGCCAGCAAAGTGAAAAATTCCTAGCATTCAAACTGTAGGAGGAGTTATCTGGAAACGCTCTCTTATGAAAGTAAATACTCCAAAAATTGACAAAGTTCAACTATCTCCCAAAAGAGCAAATATTAATAAAAATCAAAACCCTGACCACATGCACACCTTCAATATATGTACAAACAGACAGCAAAGTATAAAACTTCCTAGGATTCAAACTGTAGGAGGAGTTATGCTGATTAACTATATACCCATAATGGGACGGACGGACAGGGGTAAAACAATATGCCCCCCAACTTTCAGTTGCGGGGGCATAAAAAAAACATGACTAAATGTACAGGGCCAAATAATCTCCATGGAAATGTGATGTGCCAATACTAATACAACTGAATACCAAATATCATTGGCCCATCACTAAAGGTTCCCCTTAAACTGACAAACATTTTTGGGGCCCTTTATAGATTGCTGTTCGGTGTGAGCTCAGGCTCTGTGTTAAAGACCATACTTTGACCTATAATGGTTTACTTTTACAAATTGTGACTTTGATGGAGATTTGTCTCATTGGCACTCATACCACATCTTCTTACATCTAATCACAAACTTATATGCTAAGTGACTTTAGTATTTCATTGTCCGTATCATTTCACGGTATGTATAAAACTTTCTTCTTTTTTTTTACATTCCTTTTGTTGTGTGATATCTAATAAATTTTGTATATATATTCATTATATCTCAATTTCCCTTTAAATGACCTAATCACAAACTTATACATTGTTGAAACAGCACCCCTAGATCTAGCTTTTTCATGGCAAGACAAAAATAATGAAAAAGAGGAGACAAAATTTTGTTCTTTATGTTTCTTAATTTTTCAATGTCTGTGTTGTTTTTACTGTACCGGTACTGTCTTGTCTATCCTTTTCATTAAAAATTTGCAAATTTCAAAACTTCACATTAGGTCAAGATTTATTGATTAATTGTTAAAAATTTACATTACCGGGGTACTGATGGTTGATGAAGATGGTGATATCTTAGTGTTAGATTAAGAGTCAATAACCAATCTGCTAGTTGCCTGATGCCTAATGACTTAGTATAACTTGGCAAAGATATTTTTTTGGAATAACACGATAGGTTTCACATGTGGAGCAGGATTAGCTAACCCTTCTGCATTATCTGAGATCACCAAGATTTTTAGTGCCGTTGTGGTGCTCAGTCTTTAGTTTTCTACATTGTGTATGCAGTTGCTTGTCTTTTAGTCGTTTTTTGTTTTGTTTTATGGCGTTTGTCAGTTTGTAAATCGACCTTTGAGTTTGAATATATCCCATTGGTATCTTCTACCCATCTCGATTATTAAAATCTACTATTCAAATGTCATTTAATTGCATCAACATGATAATCCGTGATAAAGGTTTCATATATTGATAAATAAAAAAAAACTTTAACCAAAGACTGAACTTTAAATATAGCGGACTATACATTATGGATTTTTCTCATTGTTAAAGGCTCTATGGTTGCCCATTATTGCTTACATCCACTTTCTTTGAACTTTGGTGGATAGTTGTCTCATTGGCAATATCATACCTCATCTCCTAATTTTAATATTTCTATTATCACCAGTTTAATTCGCCCTTTCAGACTCTAAATAAATGCATTCTGTTCTGGGTAATATTTTCGAAAGCGTACACCAAAACGTTGTGATTGGTTTAAAAAGTTCTAAACAATAGAAATTCAACCAATGAGGTAATGTTATTTTCATTTTGGTGTACGAACAATTAGATTACCCATAATCCTTTAGATTCTGAAAAAGGCGAATTATTTCTTAATTATTCTTCCTTTGTTTAATTTGTACAATATACAAATAAGATATTAATGTATTTACTTACATCTTCAGCTATCAATAAAAAAGGCTTCCTTTTAAAGTCTGACTTGAATAGTGAAGGTGTAGCCTAGATCTGTTTTACTATGAAGCTGTAAATTAAAAAAAAAATAACATCATTATGTCAATATGTGCTTAGGAACAGGATCAAACAAAGCAATAACGAGAAGAAAGGCATACATACATCTGGAAGTCTTAAAGATTTTTTTTAGATCTCAATCCTTTGAGCCTTCTATTTAAATCTGGGTCAATGAATTAAGAAATACTCAAATAGTTCATAAAATGAAAATAAGCCAAGAAAATGTTTTACTAAGAGCTATCAAAAAGTATAGTATACAGTTTTTATAAACAAAATGAAATTCTAGATATTCCTCAAGGTTCTGAGCATCAGTTTCAGATTACTGTTCAATTTTTATGTCAAAATCTTTAAAGCTATTGTTGCTGTCAACATGGTCAAATCTACAATTACCAGACCCTCATAACTTTATATTTTAATTTGAATGAGCTGTCAATAAGACAATATATGAATTACTGAAACTCTAATATTCAATTATTATAATATAATTGACAATATATTATAATCTACTTGAAAAGTAATGTTTGAAGAGATTATAATCTTAATTTCAGGCATGCAAGTATAGAAATAATAGTTGGTTATGTTTTGTAACATCATTTTTGAACAATAAAGCCAAAAAATGTATACACTTATTTGCTGTCTCCTGGCAGAAAGATAGGGTAAATAGATAAAATAATTGTATTTTTTATTTTTATTTTATCTAAATTATTAATATACTATATAAACAACATGTTCTGAACTTAAATGGTGCTTTACCAAACAAATTTTGACTTTTACCAATACTTTACAAAAAAAAGCCAGAAAATATGTAAGTAAATCGAAAGGGAGACAAAAAAAAAAGAACTTTATCATATTCTGACCTAAACATCAAACTTTATTTTAGTATACTTGAATAGGAAACATTTCTTGTTTTACTATTAAATTACCTTCAGCTTAATAACTTGATTACAACCAAAATACTACAAACTTCTGTAACCAAATGTGATTCTCTGAAGCACTGCTAAAGTATCATGTCCTTTATCCATCTTATGTATATACATGACAGTATATATTTGCCTCAAATTCAGATTTTTTCTGGAAAAATAAATATTCAAATAAATGTACATGAACATGAACTTTAGTCCACATATTATGCCTCTATCTACTGACTGACAAACAAATGTCACATAATCATCTTTAGTAATGTTAATAATATGAACAGTATATACATGTAATATGTTATCATTAAAATTTAACATCATTGCATAGGGATTTTATGCTGAGTGACTTAAATATTTCTTTGTGTGTATGTATAAAACTTTCTTTTTTTCTTTCTTTATTTTACATTCCTTTTGTTGTGTGATATTTAATTAATTTTGTATATATATATTTATTATATCTCGATTATATGGGGCCAACTTGGACGAGTAGTCTTAAGTAGTCGAACTTCTGTATCACCAGCCAGCAGCCAGTCAACACTAAGGTTGTGAGTTCAAATCCTGCACGTGGCAAGTGAACTTAACTCCAATCTTAATTGTCATGGTTTTCACCAGCTTCCTCCATCAATAAAAACTGGATGCCACAAAATAGCACCATAGTGTTAAAAGTGGCGCTAAACATTAATCATTCAATATCTCAATTATGAGAAAATAAAGACATCAATGAATCAATAAATGTCCATTAGTTTTTTTTTTTTTATTATTAGCATTAACAGTAGTTTTTTTGGTATAATGATTCCAATTATGCAATCTAATTGTACAGTGTGTTAAAAATTTAATAAACAGCTGCGAAAGGACTGCACGATTACAAGCCCTCCAAATTCATATCAAATTTGTTTAAAGTATAAAATGAAATGTTGTAGAATCAGACATGATTTTATAAGTCATTTTTTATTTTTATTTTTTTAAAGGTAACAATGACAAATGAATGAGTTGCATCTGATGTCATGCCAAGTAGTCATATTATATTGGGGTGGTTGTAATTTCCTTAGAATTTCTTTAGAAACATACTTCATTAAGTAAAATAAATTTGTATATTACGGGTGGTTGGTGTAAAAAAAGACCCTGTTAGATAATTCCTGAAAAGCTCCAAGATATATCTATTGTTCATGTTGTTTAGTCACTTCTTAGGTACATTTGTATATGTACCGTATATATAGTTACACATTTAAATGATTATTCGACTCTTATCACCTTTTACAGTTGACTTATCAATTTTTGAATGCATTACATAACGTCCTTCAGTTGTCCAGCAGCAAATATTTAATGCTAACATTCAGAACATTGTAGCATTAATGTACAACAAATTATATCTATTCTTCCTCTGCACATATGCTGCAAGCCAAAAGGCATGTTGTTCTTTTTAAAGCACACTGTTTTGTTAAATGCATTACATTTCATAGAATGGAAATAGTGCATACATATCTGTTGGAACTTTGCTGAATTGTCCTGGTAACGTTGAACTGGACATCTCTCCCTGTCATTTTCTTTCTCATGTCTTGAATTTTCAAACAGATCCTCCATACTTCGTTCATGCCCTGCTTATTATCTGTCATATAGAAAAAAGAAATGCATAAATTTTAAGTATTTTTTTTACACATACAGTTATTGTCATAGTCTGTCAAACTTTAAATTGGGAACATTACAGTGAACTACCAAAATTGTGTGGTAAATATTAATAAGTGGAACAATGAAAGGTAATTGCCTGATAATTAACTCAAGTGTCATTCTATGATCATGAACAATCTTGACATATATTTAACTGGTGAAATAAAATGAGTTGTGTGGTGTATGTCTATGAGACATGTGAAGTTTATATACCACTCCAGACAGATAAGTGTAAGTGATCAATACATGTAGGTCCTCAGTACCTGCAGCTGAATGTTAAAAAGTCCCTATTTATTTATTGAAGTCTTGTAAAAATCAAAACCCACATATATTTATGTCTAAGGATGTTCGTTCCTCATGTTTTTGAGTTTTTGCCAGATATTCAGAATCCTCTGGCTTTATCCATGATATTCTGACATTAAAAATAATCCCAATAATCTCTACTTTTCTTTTCATAATTTTATTTTGAATAGATATATAAATATAAAATAATTTATCTATAAATACTAACTTTAGTTCTCTTTTATACTGGTGAAGTAAATCAGAGACATTATATATGATGTCTCTGAGTCAGTCTGAGTAAAATTGAGAATGGAAATGGGGAATATGTCAAAGAGACAACAACCCAACAAAGAGCAGATAACAGCCGAAGGCCATCAATGGGTCTTTAACGAAGCCAGAAAATCCTGCACCCCGAGGTGGGCCTCAGCTGGCCCCTCCATAATAATGTGTACAAATTGAGTAATTCAGTGAAAATGGACGTCACACTTAACTCCAAAACATATAAATGAACTAAAATTTAAAAACATACAAGACTAACAAAGGTAAGAGGCTCCTGACTTCGGAGAGGCAAAAAAATGTGGTGGGGTTAAACATGTTTTGTGAGATCTCACCCCTCCCCCTATACCTCTAGCCAATGTAGAATAAAGAAACACACAGCAATACGCACAGTAAAATTCAGTTTAAAACTTAAAAGAAGATATTTATTTTTTACAGAGATTAAATTATATACAAAATGCTAGTGCCTGTGGTAATTTCTTTCAAAAGTTGGGTATTAGCCTTTCCATTGCCACTACTGTGGTGTCAAAATTGGTGTCGTCCAAATGTGTCGTCTGAGACGCTCGTTTCTGTGAACCGTACGGGACAATTCTCTGAGAGACGAAGCACATCAATTCTCATTTAAACTGAATTTACCGATTGTATTTCATGTTTAAATATTCAAAAAATTAATAAAACTAAATATTTAAATTATATTAAGCTACCAGCTGGATAACAAAACAATGTTAATAAATTGATTCCGCTTCTGGGTTACACACCGATTCCGAAATGTTTCAAGGTGTGCGGTATTTCCCGCGGTTATTTTTGGCAAGCAATCTCCTTGTCAATGTGATAACAGTCCATATGAAACTGACAGACTGAGAGCCTGTGTACTGTATAATGACGGAACTGTAGAAGTAAAAAAAAGTTCTGTCTCGGGTCTACTGTACTGTGTATACTTGTGACTTTAAAAATATGCATGCAGTGTAGGTAAGTTCGATAAAATTACAGTTTTTTTTCTGATTTTTTTTACCCTAAGGCTACACTTAAGTTTAGTTAAAACATATATTTTATTTAAATAACAACACAAATTCGATAAGACACAAGTCAAACCGATTTATGAACTCTTTTTCCATATTCAGTGGTGGATCCATAAATGACATAAATTTTAATAAAAGGGGGTGGGGGATATGGCATTGATTGTCTAAGGTAAATCCCACAAAAGGGGGGCATTGACTGCCTAAGGTTAAGCCAACAAAAGGGGGCATTGACTGCCTAAGGTAAAGCCCACAAAATGGGGGGGGGGGGGGGGGGGAGGCTGCGCATTAAATCTGTCTCTGATATTAGTACAGGTGAACATTTGGGGAATGACACGCTTTGGGTTGTGGGATATCGAGGTTAAAAAAAAAGGGAATTTTTCATATTGGGGTGAAAAAGTGGGGATGTGGGATTTAGTTGGATTCTTCAATCTTTGTCTTGATGACAGGATAATTCTCTTCTCTTGTTAAACGATATTTTCAGTTGTAATTTCTCCTTAATTTGTACTTCAGGGGGTTAAATCTAATTGATGATATCATGTCAGTCAGCTTTGAACAGCTATCTTTTATTTTATGTTTACACATTTATGACATTACTACAAACTTATGCTATATGTAAAATTGAAAATGAAAAACATTTTCTTTTACATTGTGAAAAATACTCAACTAAAAGGGCCATATTATACCAAAAAGTTTCAAATATAAACGTTGATCCTACAAAATTTCAAAAAAATGAAAATAATGTAATCTTTTTATTAAATAATAATTCATACACAATCCTAAAATTGACTTCCTCTTTCATTTCAGACAGTCTGAACCTGCGTAAAGCAGAACAAACTCTATAAAAATTGTCAATATGTCTAATTCTTAATCATTGTTTATAAAATAACATATTAATATAGTCATTATTTGCAATACTTATTATGTATGATCAACTATGTAATTAATATACCATGAGCCTTAACCATTTATTGTTGATGAGTTTGTGCTAATAAAATATTTTTTTTTTTTTGTAAACAAATATTTAAGAGTAATATTTCTATTGTGTAATAAATAATACCATTATAAAAATGAAAGATTTTTTTCCATCAATTGAATAATTTGATATGTTTTTAGGGATACAGCAAGTTCCCAAGTTCTTAATTAATGAACAGAGAAAATTGTTGAGGAGCTCATTGGAGGAAAAAAAGAAATTAGCAAAGATAATGTACTTTTTCAATAAGGAGAAGAAGTAAAAGCAGCAGGTATTATATACTTATTTTATACTTGATTAACTTGGCTGTAACGGTCAAACGATTGAGATAAATAAATGAAAAGAAATGTCGTCTATATTTCAATGAATCAGCACCCGAACAAACAACAAAACAAGTAGAGGCATCTTTTGGTTAAAACAAAAGACTTCAATATACATTGTAAGTGTCAATACAAATGTAAAATAAATATGATGTGGTAAGATTGCCAATGAGACACTCTCTCCAAGAGACCAAATGATACAGACATTAACAACTATAGGTCACTGTATGGCCTTCAACAATGAGTAAAACCTATACTGCATAGACAGCTATAAAAGGCTACTAAATGACAAATGTAAAACAATTCAAATTTGATTGTCTCTGCTCGTGAATATTATGTACCGGGTACATGTATCCGAGATTACCAAAGAATGGTCTTAGGCAGATATCCTGAAATGACTAAAAGGTTAAAGATATAAATAAAGGCTATATATTAGCTTGTCCATGCAGCCTCATTATCTAAGCAGACCAAGAGAACTCGTATTATTGTTTTTGTCCCTTCAATCTGACCGTCACAAAATTTTCTTCAGTATTACTGTAAACTTTGTATCAGGCATGCATTGAGTTTTGTCATTCTTCAGTGTTACTGTAAACTTTGTATTGAGTCTTGTCATTGTACATATATATTTAAATATATAAATGTCTAAGCAGTTTCTTATTTCATTGGGTATGGTAATATATCTTGGATTCAACCTTCAAAACTTCAATTTTCATCCTCATTTGCTTTTTCATCACTTCTTCCTTCAAATCCCATAAATGTAGTTTTTATTGTCGAGCCTGCGGAAAATAACCAACAAAAAAGTAGAATAAGTTAATATTTAATAATAAAAAAAAAAAAACGTTTAACAGGATAAACAAAGGCAATTGTAGTCTCGAAAGCCAACATCAAATACACAGAGAAATACACAGCTTGAGGGCATATGATACAGTTACTTGGTAGGTACAATGTAATGATGTTGCTAACGTCAATTTTTTTTTTTCGTGACGCCAAACTGTAACATATCGGGAAAAGATGCATTTTCCGACTTATTTTGATCATTAGCTTGAAAACGAGTACATTGACCCACCTTTTATTTAAATCACTGAAGGTTTGATTATGTATGAAGACTATTTCTACCATTTTTTTTATGAAAAAATCACCAATGAATTTCTTTGGAATTAGACAAATATACAGCAAAAACTGCCGTTTTTTTTTAAATCGTGCAACTTTGATAAAAATGAATTATTTCCACTAATCTAGAATATACTTGTGTAAAAAAGATTTTCCAAATGTTTTTACAAAAATATGCTTGTGTTAAAAAGTTAGATATGTCTATTCAAAGGAGAGAAACGTCCAAAAAACCGAAATGTTGAGTAAATATCTAAAATTTTGACTCCATTTATCTTTACATGTAACACATGCAGGTGTATTTTTTATTACATATTTTAATTGACTAGGTGAAAAATAGCTTGTATGCAACTATTCGTAAAAAAACTGTTCCGTATCCCCTAAAATCGTCTAACACCAGCATATCCTTTCATTTTCTATTGATTCTAGAGTTTGTCTCTAGTGCTGTGTGGAGGCAGTAGAACGTTTCCCCGTGCTTGAGGTACAGTACTACCTGTGACATTCTCTTATTAATGGTGGCCATAAAAAATATGGTCACCATGATGGCCCTAAATGTCCATCATTATACCTCCTGTTGCTTAATTAATACACAAGGTATTAATCAAAAACTGGTCAAGGATGAAGGGAAATCATGAATGCACTGAAGTGTTAAAATTATATAACTTACAGGTAAAGTGTCTCAGGTAAAATATATGTGTTTGTCAAATTCAACAACTGTGATTATTACAAGAAAATTTTAAAATAAAATGAAATAATAAAACTAGTTGAACATATAGCTTCCTAACTTTTTTTTTGTAAACATTTTCTCATGACTATTTGTTTTGATGTTATACCTTTTAAATAATTCTATCAATGTTAAGTTATTTTTTACATGTATTTTTTGGCAAATGAAAAATAAATGAATATCATCTTCTAATATAATGCAAACTTTCACAACGCCTGCCTTTTTCCTTTGAAAAGGTGTTTTTCCAATTAATTTTCTAAAATCAAAATTGTTTATACTTAGGAGCATTACTTAAACAAGTAACAATTAGAATTACCTATACAAGTAAAGTTGAAAACGAGGCTATTTTAAATATTACTTATATAAGTAACTTTTCTGAATATTATCTATATAGGTGTCCAAAAATACAGATTTTACTAGCTTTAACAAATTTTCAGAGTCATCTGGTTATTTTTCTCATGAAATATAAAATCTAATTCATCTGAAACACTAATTAACTTTCTGACGCACTTAGCTTTCATACCCTTTCATACCGAAGCTTCTGGGTAAAAGATTGATCTCTGAGGACTATTAAATTATCATTTTCCTCCAAAATCTTGAAGGTAAACTGATGTAAATAGATGGATACTTTTGAAATAATTAAGACTTGAAGTTATTTATAATTTGTAACCCAAATCAATTGCATTTGTTCCTTAAATAAGATTAATTACTATTTTTTTTTAAAATGTATAAAATAACTTATTCAAGTAATATTTTTGTCATAAATATTAAAGTAACCCTTTATCTCTATACTCCTCTCAAATCAAACAAATTCTTTATTTTATGATATAAAATGTTGTAAAAATTCAGGAAAACTACATTAAGTCTATGTTTCTATTGAAAATTAAAATAACTCTATTAAGTAATTTTATTATTTTTAAAAACAAAAATTACTTATATAAGTAACTTAAAAAAAAAACTTGTTTAAGTAACGCCCCTGCATTTAACATTTTTTGATATTTGAAAAATTTAAAAGATAAACAAAAAGTTTGTTCCTATACAATTTAGTTGTAGTATTCCTGAATAATAATCATGATAATAGATTGTACAACTTTGTTAACAAAATCTATTGTAAAAGGATTGATATTCATGATATTGATAATTTTAATTTGTTAAGAAACAGGCTTGTTAAATTACTTGCTTCATGGTTCCTTTAAACATATCATTTGCATGATTAAAAGTTATTATTAATAATAATTCATTTAATAATGCAAATGAACAATTGAATACCATGTACATCATGTATAATAAGATATTTTTTAAAGTAATGCTTTGAGACAAAGTAATAAAAGAATTAAATTGAACATTT